AAAGCAAAAGGCACCAGTTCAGCATGTACCTAACAGACCTGTAAAGTTTCATGAAATAATATTGAACGGTTTATGAGTTATGCTCCGGAAACGAAACGTGACGGACGGAGCCCGTTTCTATATCCCCCGCCAACTTCGTTGGGCGGGGAATAAAAATAACACATACCCTAATAAATAAATATATAATAAATAAAACATTCCATTTCGTCAGTGACAAAAGGCTGATCTGATCTGTCGAGTGACAGATCCGCCATATCTCACTGTCGAAATGAACTATCCTCTATTTATTAAGAATGTATGGCGCAAAAAACACAAGATTTTAATCATGGTTTCTCTTGTAAATCACTCCATCAGCCAAATGTACATCTAGGTACTTTTTATAATAGACATATATTTAATTATGGGGGAAATCTGACTCCAAAGCGGAAAATTGGCTATATAGTGTATTTCCCGGGTGGGAAATATGGCTATATAGTGTGCTTTCCGTGGGAAGTATGGCTATATAGCCAGTTTTCCGGGGGAAGTATGGCTATATAGCCAGTTTTCCGGGGGGAAATTTGGCTATATAGCCCTTTTTCCGGGGGAAATTAGGCTAGGGGGGAAATTCCACTCTCTGACACCGGCTAATGTGTCGATTATGTATTCCTATGGTCTGTCGAGCACTTTCACTTGCAGTTAGGAACGGATGTCGCTGGTGTTTACAGGTAATCTGCCGATCTTGTCGAGGTGTGGTGACCCTAAGACGACCGCTCCGATGAAGGTCATCTGTGGTCTGTGTAGCATTGTATCCATGCATGAGACGGTAAATTGTGGTTATGTTAACGTTGAAATGACGGGCAACATCTTGGACAAACGTCCGATAGCCTGGTTTCTCTGAATTTGAGTTAGGCGTGGCATTGTTGACCAAGGAGTTGTAGGTCCAGTTTTATACCCACTACAGTTCGTGACAGTTCGTGGTTTTTCCCCACATATTCATTGGAATGGTGCGTTTTGGCGATTCGTTTTTTATGTTGCGTTTTTACTCGGGGCTTCCAATATGCAACCAAACACCATCAGGTTTCACTACATGCTAAAACTCGTATCAATTTATGGTTCCGTGTTTGTTACCTATTTGTTTAAAACCTTTTGCGTGTGAGTATATAAAGATCATATCTTGTAAGGTTCTCCACAGAAACTATTGAAAGTTTACATGAAGTTAGTGTGCTATAAGTACCTCATCTTTCGTTCTTTGTTGCATGCTAAATGTAACACCGCTTGGTGGTAATATTGACAAAATACCGAATACATCGCTCAGAAAACCTAGGGTTCCATTTGACCGTCAAGTGTCTTTTGAAGTATGTATACTACCCTTGAAGATGAGGGTGAGAATTGGTCTTCAGCAACCCGTGCTTGTCTTAAGAGGCGATTATCGGGATTCGAACATTGTCTCGGTGGTAAATGGGTTTAGAACACTCTTGTTAACTCTGGCACACGCCAATTTCGTAGCGGTGATGTCATGAAAACGGTGGCTATCTTTTGACGGAGTTGGTACAAGCACACCATATGCGGATTCGAGGATGGTCGAAGTCAAACATGGGTTGAGAACACACTGGGACACATGTGGTGATATCTCAAAAGCGGTTTATTACATTTGACGGCGTTGCTACAACCAAACCATTTGGGGATTCGAACATGGTCGAAGTCAAACATGGGTTAAGAACACACTGGGACACATGTGGTGATGTCTCACAAGAGGTTCCTTACATTTGATGGCGTTGGTACAGGTAAACCCTTTGAGGATTCGAATATGAACCTTAGCACATTATCTCAGCAATGCGACAGGAACCCGGGGCCGGACGAACGCAGAATGCTTATCTGTTTGACTGGAGCCCAACTGACAAAGAAGTTACAGCCGGTTAAAGATCTAGAGTCACCAACCTGAAAGGCTGAAGAGCCCCTGTTATCGTTTGATTTAATATTATTATTATTATTCCGCCGATTTTTGTACCAGAGCTAGCAAAATAACCACTGGCTCGATTTTGTTCAAATTTTGTATGTGTGGGAAGACCGGTCGAGTATTAGATTCCGATAAAATCCCAAAGCCGTAGGCCCAAAGACCAAGGGCAGATAACTAAAAATCAAGAATTTTTTTATGATGTAATTCGCCCTATTGCTCCGCAACCGCTTATCCGATTACTTTGAAACTTTGCATGTACATGTATCTGCTGCTTGAGATGCTTGACATTTTTTGCTCTTTGACTTTGGTCATTGGGCACGTGGTTTGGCAGCCATATTGGATTCAAGGTTTTCACAGTGTCTTTTGGGTACCTGTCTTCAAATGCAAACAACTTTGAGTCCACTGCATGAAATGCTTTCAAACGTTCTGATAATTGTCTCCATACATAATACATCAAACGTTAAAAGCCGATTTTGTAAAAAAAAATTAATTACGGCCAAATTGGATTTTGATTTTGATCATTTTTGTTCACCTAAATTTTGCTTTAAAGATCATAACTTGTAAGGTTCTCCACAGAAATTATTGATAGTTTACATGAAGTTAGTGTGCTATATGTACCTCATTTTGTGTTCTTTACTTTGGTCATTGGTCACGTTGTTTGGCAGCCATATTGGATTCAAGGTTTTCACAGTGTTTTTGGGGTACCTGTCTTAAAACGCAAACAACTCCAAGTCCACTGCATGAAATGCTTTCAAACTTTCTGATAATTGTCTCCACACACAACACAACTGCAATAGCCGTTTTGTGGATATCTGTTTTTGTTGCGGTTGTATTGGATTTTGATTTTGATAAAACAATTACCGAAATTTTACTTTAACGATCATATCTTGTTAGTTTGTTGACAGAAACTATTGCAAGTTTACATGAAGTTAGTGTGCCATATGCATTTTATTTTCTGTTCTTGGGTGCATTGAAAAAGTAACACCACTTGGTGGTAATATTTGATTAAAATTCAGGACACCCCTGGAACACGCCAATTTCGTAGCGGCAATCTCCTGCAAACGGTGACTATCTTTTGACAGAGTTGGCACAAACAAACCCTTTGAGGATCCGAACATGTTCGATGTTGTAAATGGGTTTAGAACAGACTTAGCACACGCCAGTTTCGTAGCGGCGATACCCTGCAAGTTGTGCCTACATGTGACAGATTTGGTACAAGGAAACCCTTTGAGGATTCGAAGATGGACGTTTGTGCACAGTGTAACTTGGAGCCCGCCTTTGCTGCTTTGCAGCTGTATTTATTATTATTATTATATAGCGATCCGCCAGTCTGTCTGTCCGTCCGTCCGTGTTTCTGTCTGTCCGTCTGTCCGTCCGTAATCATTTCTTTTTCCGGGGCAGAACTCGGAAACAATTCAGTGTATTTGATCGAAACGTGGCATATCTATAAGGGTGGTGTTCGTTTCCGGAGCGTAACTCAAAAACCGTTAAATTCTTTCTTACAAAACTTTGCATGTCTACCAGGCACATACCAAACTGGTGCCTTTTTCTAATTAGGAATTTTTTAAAAACAATTTTTACGTTTCCATGGCAACCAGTTGGACTTAGGTTCTATAGGGTAGAGTTCGTTTCCGGAGCGTAACTCAAAACCCATTCAAAACTTTCCAACAAAACTTTGCATGTCTATCAGACTCATGCTGAACTGGTGCCTTTTGCTATTTAGGAATTTTAGAATTTTTTATTTTTTATGTTTACATGGCAACAAGTTGGACTTAGGTTCTATAAGGGTGGTGTTCGTTTCCGGAACGTAACTCAAAAACTGTTAAATACTTTCTTACAAAACTTTGCATGTCTACCAGGCACATACTGAACTTGTGCCTTTTGCTATTTAGGAATTATATTTTTTTTATTTTTTTTACGTTTCCATGGCAACAAGTTTGATTTTCATATAGGGTGGGTTCACTTATGGAGTATAACAATTAATCTGTTAAATATTTCCTTGCCAAACATTGCATGTCTATATATAAAGTACATACTGAACTGGTGCCATTTGATATTAATTAAGGAGTTTTAGAAATGTTTATTTTAGAATTTCCATTGCAGCTATTTTGACATGGGCTAAGAGAAATGTTGGGTCAGTTACCTGGTTTGGGACCATAACGTGTTAAAATGGGCGGGGGATATAGATGACTTCGTTGACTATACGCTTGTTTAGTTAATGTTTCTTGTAATTTGTCATTTGTTTGCATAAAAAGAAAACAGAAACACACATGTTTTACTTTCCATTTCATATGGATGCGACCATGGTTGATCTTTTGTTGGCAAACAATGTATGCTTCTTAAAGAACATTCAACTCTTGATTCCTTACATACAGAATTGCACATTTACTTGTGGTTACTTGACAGACAGCTGCCGGGGGGATATGTCATCTTTCTGATGACTCTTATTATTATTATTATTATTATTATTATTATTTGACATTTGCATAAAGACATTTGTAGACAAATACATCCACATTATTAGATGTGTCCTAGCCATGGGTATTGCCATGCAAGCACAATGAAGTAGTTTATGGACTTACACAATCTTGTAATTCGGGGATGAATGTAAATAAATGAGTCTCAATATCCATCTGTTGTTTCCTAGATGCTGAACAGACTAACAGCAATGGCGATGATGAAGAAACAAAATTGATTGTAAAATTTTGACGCTCTTCTGAAGGACGCTGTCCTGAAGAAGGACTTCTGTTTGCGAAGGAAAATGTCCGGAGAAGAGGTAGAGACAACCTTTAACCGTTCGATCTTGATGGCATGTATAATGACAATCCCCGGGCTCATCGCAAACTCCTTGTCTTTCTATTGTATCATTCCGGACCTGATAAAAAGGAAGACCTTTGTAAAGCAGTTGGTGCTTTCATTATGTTGCACCGACTTCATTGGTTGCATAGGAGTCCTTTTGTTTCAAACAGTGGCCAAACTAAATGACATTCCTGTATGGATCTGTGGATGTCTGTCATTTGTTACTGTATATTGTCCAATATTGTCCGGTGCCATAACTACCTTCATGGCAGCTGATAGATGTGCCGCATTGCGGAAACCCTATTGGTACCAAGAAAATATGTTCAGTTGGAGGTTCTGGGCGCCATTTGTATGTGTCGTCTGCATCATTACTCTCATCTGTCTTTTCCCTCAAATGGGTCTCGGGAAAATCGTGATCTATGAGACCAGCGGCAACGTGTCGGTAAGAAGATGTGGGCCATTGCAGGAAGGCATGTCCAAGAACATTAAGGAATCTACTTTTCCTGTATTGTATGGAAGTGTAGGCCTTGTGATGGTAGCTACTAATCTTTCCTTTAACGTCGCCGTCCTCAAAACCCTGCACGCAATGAAGAAGAGGGTTCATCCTTCAGCACGATACAGACAGGACACCTCACAGGAGTTTGAAATGACAAAGATGCTACTCGCCCTGTCGGCCACATTCCTCATCTGCTGGTTACCACTCAATGTAAGTACACGTGTGTGAAAACGTGACATCTCCGTCCTTACATGAGACCCGTGAAGATCGGGGGAAAGAATAGGTCTCGAGAAACATTTGCTTGCCGTAAAAGGCGACTGTGCTTGTCATGAGAGAAGACTAATGGGATGGGGTGGTCAGGCGAATATACGTATATGTATTTCATATGTTAATAATGCACATATCTTTGTAAATACCAGCACCATGCCTTTGCTCTAAGAATATCAGATGATATCCGAATATCTTCGGATGTAACTTCTGGAGAAATTAAAGAAATTCAATTCATTCATTCATCCTTCATGCGGAAGATTCTTAAGATGTAATATGATGCAAGTCGCTGGAAACCTGTCCAAAATCCACGCCGAGCCGCGTTGAGGTCGTAACGGTTGACTTTTTACGTCAGTGTTTGATTCACTGACACAAAAACAGTAAGGGTGATATATTTGTAACAGTTATAGTTTATCCTCAAGTGTTTGGTTAGTGTACGGTCAAACAGGTTCTTTCGCAGTTCTGTATTTTTTTTTTTTTTTACATTAATGTATTTAGAACACAGTTGCTCATCAGCCTCATAAAAATAAGTAAGACCATGTGCTGCGCAAGTGATACTTTTTATACGCGGAGGAATACCAGTAATGGCTAATTTTGTACATTTGACGAAAACCAACACTATTTAGATGACTACAAAAGATGAAATTGGGTAAAAATATAAATAACTCACTCAACACTCACGTACCGAGTAAAATTAACGTTTAAAGTCCAAGCCAAGGCTCAGGGCTGTAAACCTTAATATCACCACAATGACGTGATCCGTAATTCTTCGTAGCTCAACAGTTATAAGTAATTCGGAGTTCATCGTAGCTCATATATGTAGGTTATTCTCTAATCCCACCACACTTTCTTCAGTTGCAGTTGGTCCTTGTGCAGCAAGGCGTACACAAGTACCGTGTCGTCGACATTATTGTCCACTCGTTAGTGAGCTTAAACTTTGTAGTAGACCCCGTCATCAACCTCACCGTGAAAAGGAAATACAGGGATAAGATGAGACGGATCTTCATTTGCAAGAGAAGATCTGAAACCGAGACAAATGGGCCCTTCAGACTGACCACACTGTCTACTAACACCGAGGACATAATGACAGCTCGGCCTGAGTAGACCAATTCACCGAAGACACAAGAAGCACTCTACAGACAAGGTGTCGTGTTTTGGGTAGATCTGTTCCCATGATGGCCGCGTACCATAGTTGAAAACAGTAGCAACCGAACAAGACAGCAGATAATTCGGAATTGTTACAAAGTGTCACGCCCATGTATTTGCATAAATTGTTTGATGGATGATTTGAAATGAAAAGGAAAATTATTCATTGGTGTTTGTTTGTTGAAGTTAGCAATATTTCAGACATATGACGGCGGCTTATCTGTCAAACCAGTGAGTGATATTGTGAGTAACAATCCAAGCAGTCGAGGTATGATGACACGCAATAAAACAAAACCACCGAACCTGACCGCCGCCCGCTCCATTTGGACGCCTCTTACAACAGCATAGATTGCTTTGGACCTGTAGGGAGCTTTAACCTTTAATCTTATGAGGACATTCAACTGAATGTGAACTTGACGTAAAACTTCCTTCCGCTATACAAACCAACGAAACTGGAGATGGGATTTGCCCCAGAGGGGCCACAGAACCCATCCAAGAATACCTGGGCCGCACCAAGTAAAGTCCACAATTCTTGAGGGTGAGAAATTAACAGGATGGCCAGACATACCACGTATAAATTGCAAGTTACTAAAGCAATATTTGGACAAGGCCATGCCAAATGTTTGCATACCTGACAGAGCAGAATATTCATGACAAGCTCCGGCTAATAAAGATGTACATGTGCCGTGAACCTGGTGAGCTAACTGCCAACATGAGCCAGGCACCTCAGTTCGTAGCAGACACGAAATTGCAGATGAACTTTCGCATTTTTCTCCCAAAATTACCTGATGCACATTGGCTCACCAAATGAAATTCCTAATGGTGGCCTAGAAGAGTTTTCTCCCGATTCCGACATCATTTCTGTCAATGATCTCTCTGATAATACGTTATAATTTATATGGAAGACATTGATAATTGGTGGTCATATTGGAAACATGTTTCCCAAACTAGGATTGCTTGGGACTGTTAGTATGTTGTTTTCACGACCTTGTAGAAATGCATTGTGGTGAAATAAATTCTTTTGCAATTTGTTCCAAGATGGGTGAAAAAATGGCCTATATTGTCTGGACTAATGTGTTGGAGAGACTACAGAAAAGCTTATGATTCTGTACCTCACGAATGGATTTTAAAGTCACTGGAATGTTTTTACATCCCCGAGCGACTACTTGTTTTACTTAAGTGTTTAATGAATTGCTGGTCAACTCAACTTAACATGCATTCGCAGGAATCCCCTTTCTATTACAAGAGGACTATTTCATGCCGATTCTTTTCGTCCTTTGCTTTCCTGATTGTCACTAAATCTTTCAAAGGTCGTACTGAGACGTCCACTGTGAAGTTATATATCTCCAAGTGACTGGCTGATTTACTTTAGAGATCTTCTTAAGCCCTTACAGGGAACTGATAATAATGAGTTTGATTGTTTTGTGGGGGAGTTTCCGCTCTCTCATACATGTGATAACTGTAATGACTTACCCTTTTCGGATGAACTCCTGTCAGGTGAGATCACTGAAAGAGAGGTCTCGGATGCTATCAATAATCTGAGAACAGGCAAGGTGGGATACCCCCTGAGTTCTTTAAACTACCATCGGATCTCTTTGCACCATACTTGAAGTTATTGTTCAATAAGATTTTAGACATGGGTGTGTTTCCAGAATCTTGGAATATAAGTATGATTATTTCATTATATAAATCTGGGTCAGTTTGTGAACCAAGATATTATAGAGGCATTTCTCCACTAAATGTTATGGGAAAAATCTTCACGTCAATCATAGAAAAACTATTGAGAATATGGATGAAAGTAAATAATCATGATTCCCGAGTCTCAAAGCAGGGTTCCGACCTAACTTCTCTACTGTTGATAATTTGTTTGTTTTACAAGCTCTTTGTTCTAAATATCTGTGCAAAACCAGAGGTCGCTTTTATTGTGTATTTTTATGATTTGAAAAAAGCTTTTGACTATGTTAATAGGAAACAATTGATGTACTTATTACGAAAGGATGTCATGGTAAAATGTCTATACTTTTGAAAAACATGTATGCATCAGTCAGCGCATGTATAAAGGTCAATAATGAACGTACGGACTGCTTTACAACAGCCTCCGTGTACGACAAGGTTGTGTCTTAAGTCCGTTATTGTTTATATTTTTCATAAATGAACTTGCTATAGAGCTGCATAATAGTTGCCAACATTGGATATTTGTAACACAAGAAATAATGGACATTATGCTCCTTCTGATTGCTGATGATGTTGTCATTTTTTCCTATTCTGCAATTGGCTTGCAAAAACAGTTAAATGTGTCACAGAGTTAATGTTCAAAACAGAGTCTTGAAGTAAATCTGACTAAAAGCAATGCTGTAGTTTTTAGAAAAGGTGGTATTTGTTGCAAAACATGAAAAATGGTTTCTTGGTTCGTCTGCCTTGAATGTAGTCACTTACTATAAATATTATTGTCTTTTGTTCTCCTCTAGATTGTCACGATTTTTAATAAATCACGATTAGGCACTTTGAGAAAATTGTCCAAATTCTGTGAAATCATCATGTCATTGTTTAAACCTATCAAATGATTCTTCCCCTTATTGAATTACAAATATTTTGCTATATGTGAATCTAGTTTAAATATCCTATGTTTGATTGTTTGTTTGTTATTTAACGCCGCAATCAGCAATATTCCAGCTATATATAAAAATCTAGTCTGGTACAGACAATCCAGTGATTGACATCTTAAGCATCGATCCACGCAATTGCGATACGATGACATGCATCAACCATGCCAGCTTGCCTGACCACCTGCCAGTGGATCTTCCAGTTAGCTTACCATATGTCGAATTGTTTTGTATCATATTTGTCATATGGCAGTGTAATTTATTGTTGAACAATGTTTTGTATGATGTATTACATTGTTTCTGTTGAGATTCAGTAGACGTTCATAGCATGGTGTTTTGACAATGGTCAGTTGTCAGGAATTCAGTACTATGTAATAAAACCAGTGGTGTGGAAATTACTTTATCTTGATTCTTTTGTAGTCAAGTGTAATCTGCAATATTTTTTAACAGCTCCAGACTAACCCAGCATGGTATGGAACTTTCTAAAAGTTATTTAGACTATATAGTTGGGCAAGAACATGCTTTTTGGAAGCTTGACCAATTTTCCTGCTGGGTCAATATTATCATCATTGACATTTTTGCTTTGGTATTTTATTCTGCCATTGCTACGATTGAATGCTGCACTGCCACTCTATTGTGTACTGTCATTGCAATTACTTTGCAGTAATTGGTATTGATTTATAATAAATTTAACAAACACATGATAACTGACAAACTATTTATTAGATTAACATTATACCATAGCATATGCATACAAGACTAGTTTCTTTGGCGTTAGGGGAATCTCATGTTAATACTAACTACCACTATAACTATAACAATGAAACCTGTGGTTGAACATCAACCTTAACCAGCACAAATTACATGCCCAAACATTGGGAGCAACTACCCTCATACAGTGCCGCATGTTCAGGAGTGAGCATCACCGGAATGAGAAGCTGCTTGACTGAGCATCAGTCATTACTGACCCCAGCATGGGGTGCAGTCGAGTATATGACTTACGCTTCTGAGCATCAGAAACAGTATTTGGCAGCATGCCATTAACACATAAATATGTACAGCAATGAAAGATGGGGGAACATATTCCTAGAAACATCATGGATATTTACCTGCTGAACTGCCTATGGATATTTAACTGCCATTTAACACTGGATATATAAACATGTACAACAAAGAATGGTTGATGAAAAACATCGAACCTTATGGGTATGTTTTAACTATTTTCTAAGAATCATCATGAGAATCCCTGTCCCTACTGACAGTTACTGCATGTACACAATCATTGGTAAAGACAATGAGTTGTACATACAACAATGATGGGGTATAATACAAATTCCCCCGGACTTTAACCGGATTACATTTCTAAAGCACAACATGACACTGTAAGCACTGAAACTGTGATCATGGACAACAGGTGGTGTGGGAGGAGGTGGGAATTTTTCGTCTGAACAAGCATACGGCATGGCAAACGACAACATTGCTAGTGCGCATGAGCGGAAATACCAAATGTAAACACATGTACCTAAAACGAGGCCTCCTTCTCAAACGGAAGTAGCATGTAGTGCGCATGAGCAGAAATACTGAATGTAAACACACGTTATTGAGTATAAGTTTTCTAATGGAAAATATCAAGTTCAGAACACAACTGAGTTAATAAAAATAAAGCGTTCTATTTACGAAACCCGAATTACATAGTATACAAGCTGTGTTGCTCATGTGACGCAGTACTAGTGCTGCAGTTATGATTACCTGGGACCCACGACGATCGTAGATACGTACCTGTGGCAAGACTACCAAACTACAGTAATACGAATGCGCTCAAGCAGTTTGTGTTATCATTTATTAACTTAGTTAATTTTAGTATAAAATGGTTAACATTTCTTTGTTATTTGTTGGTCTATTTCACACAGATTTCTTTGGTGTATATATTTTTAGATCAACTTATTGTCATAATGTAGCTATTTTAGCGTTAGGGTGGGTTACCCCCAACTCTGTCCTTAACCCATGGATCTTTCCGATCAAGCATCCCGGTACGAAAATTGGTGTTTGGTACCACTTTCCGATCTAACACCATTTCACAATCCTAAGGGTTGGACTCCACTTGTTAATCAAGCACCCCTTTACGATCCTTAGGGTTAATTTAAGTTAGGGTACAGGTCATATCCATCCGTTTTAGCGAAACAGTTCAATATGATTCGCCGAGAAACTAGCTCCTGCGCTTGGACCAAAAGGTTAACAATCGGATGCGGATCTCTTGGTGAACATCCTTTATATCTGCAGAGCGGGTAATTTGAGATCGCGTTAACAACGGGAATGGGTCAAGGGGTTATTTGTTTGTTTGTTGTTTAACGCCGC